TGTACCACTGATGACAAGCGTAATAGAAAATGCACGGATGGCTTGATGTTTATTGTTTGTGTTCTCAGAGGAAGCAATTTCCGTAATACTTTTTGTTTTTTCATATCTTCCTAATCCACTTTGAATCAATTATTTTTGCTGGTGACACACGCAAACAAAGATTACAGCCTTGGTGGAAATGCGTTTGTGACTTTTTTCTTTCAACAGATAATTGCTGTATACTTTAGGGCTGCTGTGCTTTTATTTTTATAGTCGTGTTGGAATGTTTTTGACTTTTTTCTTCTCTGTCTCACTCTTACGTGGAGCAGTTGGAACCTTCCGAAACAAGAGTATGAGCTCTTCTTTATTGTGCTCACCCAAGTCATTTAGCACTGTGGTTGTCTTTCATATTTGCACACATTTGTCATATGTAGTAGATCAGAATGACGTTTTTCTCTAAAACAATCACATTATTTTTTTTCCCGTAAAACTGAAAATGCCTCAGTCTTTGGGAAGAAGCTCTACTCATTTGATCATACGTCTACTCATGCAACTCCTTTCAGAACACTATTTTGTTGTCCCGTTTAAGCTTTTCCAACTGTTAATTTCTTGTTTCTTCCTGTAGAAGTTGGTGTGTCGCAGAGTCAAGAATCCTGTGGCTTGGACAGTGTGTGTCTCAACGGAGGCTACACCCCAAATACCTTCACCCTACATGGACTGGGGGCCATGCCTGGATCCCGAGCTGGAGTGGTGGGCAGCACTGACCTTCTGAAGGACGGAGGAGTCGGCATGGGAGGCGATGACATCTCCCCCGCCCTGCTAACCCCGCATGGCGCTGCAGATCTGGGCGCCGGTGCCGCAATGCGTCGGAACTTGTCTGACGCGGCCGCACTGGAGAAGATGATCATCTCTGAGCTGGTACAGAGCAACCTGAGGCCTTCGGGTGACATGCCCGTCCCTCCCGAGCGCTACGGAAGCCTGGCAAGGCCTCATCATCTGGACAGGGCGGCCCTGGCTCACACTGCCACGCTGACTCGGCACGCGCAGCAACCCCAAGAGGGCTGGGCGGCCACCATGCAGCCCACCTCTCGACACAACGCACAAGAGGGTTGGCCGCATTTGAGGCACCACCTACAAGGTGCTGAGACACATTCCTCATCACATGAACAAGATCATGTCACAACACCACACTCACAAGATGGCTGGTCACACGCACGCACTCCAGCAGATGCTGAGTCCCGCGAGTTGCTGAAAGATGGAGAGAGGCTTCAGCTGCAAGGCACTCTGGGTCGTCGAGGGCTCCAGGAACGCCAACAAGCACGTCCCCCCGATGTTCAGGCTCGGCCATACTCCACCCTCAGCCGCACCCCTGGCACCCTGTCCCGCCACCGAACCACAGCCGAGTCAGGTGGAGGGACGGACAAAGAAAGGGAGCGAGACCGGGATCGTTATCGAGACAGACCCTTACCGCCGCCTCCTCCCCCACCCCCGCAGGAGTCAGAGCCCTTGTACAAAGCTCTGGAGGAGCCACTTCTGATGAAACAGCGGGAGGCCGGTGTAGACACTTGGCGAGGAGTGCAGGACAGGGAGAAGGATGAGACATTTCTCCTAAAAAGAGATGGACTTATGGATGAGTGGCGAGGACGTAACAGAGCAAGGGAAGAGTCTTTTAGCTCTCAAACGAGAAATGGAGACATGGCTGAGTGGAGAGGTGGAATAGAAAGAGGAAGGGAGGAACCTCATCTCCTGGAGAAGAGAGATGAAAGGATGGATGCATGGCGGGGAGCGGCAGAGACCGACAGGGAAGAAACGTTCATCACTCAGCGAAAAGATTTTGGGATTGATGGCTGGAGAGCTGGGATGGAGAGAGAGAAGGACAGAGATGGGTGGAGAGTAGGATTTGAACGAGAGAATGAAAAGCAGAAAGACAGAGCACTCGATGTGTGGCGTGGAGGGGTTGATGTAGACAGGGAGGAATCTTTTTTGTTTGAAAGTAACGACAGTGGTCTTGATGGGAGAAAAAGAGGAAAAGATCGAGGTTCGTTCAGGTACCATGGTGACCGAGAGGATTCTGATGGCTTTACTCTGCCTTTGACCCCTGACCTTGACCTTGACCCCGACACCTCACCTATCTACACCCAAGATTCAAACCCCTCGCCACTGTACCCGGGAGACCGTCCATCGCCGCCTCTCGGTCTCTTCCCGCGAAGCTCACCCCCAACCAACATATTTGCTCCCCGAGACGCGAATTCTCCTCCCAACAATCTCTACTCCCGCCATTCACCTCAAGTGTACAGCCGCAGTAGTTCGCCTCCTCGCTTCTACAGCCGCACCTCTCCCCCGACACTCTCCTACCCTGACAGTAGCCCCGAAGGTCCCGAAGAGCTCAGCCCCAGCAGCCCGCCCCAGCAGCCTGCCCTGGAGCTGCCGTACAGCCTCGGGAGACCTCCTCTCGGCCCTCGTCCCAATCACCTGCAAACCTTTTATCAGCCACCACCACCGAAGACTAATGGAGAGGTTATGTACACATCTGAGCCGTCTTCGGAAGGAGACGATGGTCAGATGCAGCGGGTGACAAGCCTGTGACTAGGGCGGTGGTGATCGGGGCATAGAAAACAGGGAGGTGGAGAAGAGCACAACCAACAATAATAAACAAGCAGTTTCTGATGATGATGATGATGATGATGTATCTCAATTGGCCAGTAAAGGTAATGATGATGTCAGAGATGGCTCCTCCCTGCTTCTATCTCCCGATCACCACGAGACTTCCCCCTTGCCCCTTTCTCATTCTTTTGTTATCTTTCGAGAAGTGTGACCATCATTGGCCGTAACTCTTCCTCTGCTCTCCTTCCCTGGACCCCTGCTGTGTCTTCCTGCTTCATCAGTGCTTTATTTTTTACTGGCCCATTATCTGACTTTCTGTTGGTCAATTGGCTGGGTTTTCGCCCTTCCTCGTAGCAAGAGAAAAGTGTTGTGACGGATCAAAGCACTAGTGTGTTGCCAAAAAAAAAAAAATTCTTTTAAAGAACACATGCATGACTTTCTAATGGCTCTTACAAGGCCATGCGTTCTGTAAGAAGGAAATGTTCAAGTGCAAGTGAATGAATGTGTGTTGCTTGATGAGCATGCGTGTGTGCAAGGTGTGTATGTATGCGCGCGTGTGTGTGAGAGTGTATATATACAAATCTTTTATGATTATGATTTATGATTAATGTATCACAGATTAATGTATCACAGAGGAGCATTTTAGCATTGTTGATAGAGGTGGGCCTTCAACGTGTGCCCTCCTCCTGATTTTCAACTTGTTCCATCACATCAAGACCAAAATTTGTCCTCTAGTCGCCAACTGTTGGCAACGGAACAGTTTTCAGTGGAGTCGTCATAGCTACAGCGGAGTTGTCATAGCAACAGAACTATTGTCTCCAGAGCAGATCACGTCAAACCTCAGAACTTTTTCTGCAACCCCTGATAACTTTGTACATATTACCCTCAACTGTTCTAATTGTCTTGTATTGCTATTGACGTTCAAGTAAACGTGAAATTAATCTTTCTTGTCCTTTCTTTGACTATAGAAAGTAAGGCTTAAGACAGTCAGGAGGCATAAAAAAAATGAAGTCAGAATATACCAATGTAGCCTTAGTAGCCCATATAGCCATCCAATCCACCTTTTGATACTTCAGTTCTCAGTTAGATATTTGTGGACTATCAATCCATCCATTTTCTTCCACTTCTCCAGAATCAGGTTGGAGGGCCAGCAGTTTTAGTAGGAAACCCCGGACCTCCGACTTTCCCAAACACATCATACAGTTATTCTGGGAGGATTCCAAAGCCTTGTCCACGTGGGACATGCTGGCCAGAGCCCTCACCGGGGAGGTGTCGAGGAGTCATCCTGATCAGATGTACAAGCTTCCCTTGATGTGGAGGAGCAGCAGCTCTACTCCAAACCCATCCCAAATGACCGAGCTTCTCACCTTCCCTCTTAAGGATTCCTGGCACCTTGCAGGTCTTCAATGTATTCTCCTCACTGATTCACAATGTCCTGTGTCAAGGTCAGCAGTCTCCCATCTCCATTATACAGAGTTAATGGTGTTCCACCTCGTCCAGAAGTCATTCTCCGTGGCCTTAGTTTCCCAATCAGACTTTCATACTTTATACACTATGCTAGCTTTTAAATGAAACCCGTTTTGAAAAATTCACTTGGCAAATCTTGACATAAATTAAGGTCACATTGTGCAACATTTGCACTTTCAACGCCAAGATTGCATCCACTGTGGAGCAAGTCAGGGAATTTTCTGACCTCCGATTGCCACAAAAACAGAATGGCGTTGAGATTCTTACCTGTTTCACACTCTACTTCATCAGCTTTCAAGAGACCAATTTGGAAAAAGTCAATTGGCAAAAAAGTGAAGACAGTGAATTCAAAATGTCTTACTGAGCCAAATGGGCTGCAGAGTCAACGTTTACTTCAGGTCAATTTGGCGATTTTGGTGGCCTCATTGCCATAAAAGTAAAATGGCATTGAATTTCTCATCTGTTTCACACTCTTAGATTTCAGATTAGGCCCACTTTGAATGAGGAGAGTATTCATGCCCTTTGAATACCTTGTAAAGAAAAAGCACTATACAAGCCATTTACCATTTTTGAAAATTACCACCTTTAACAATAAAAGAGTGATGAATAATCAACATTCATTTATTCACTTATTGAAAAACAGTAAATGTAGTAGACATTTATTCAGCAAAAGAAAATATAATACATTTAAAAGATGTCAACCAAAAATAAAAACCAATTATTTGTGAACTCTCAATCTGTTATGTAGTCTGGGAACATAGATACATCCTTTGCATGTTCTCCCCGTGCCTGTGTGGGTTTTCTCCGGGTACTCCGATTTCCTCCACATTCCAAAAACATGCACGGTAGGCTGTTTATCACTCGAAATTGTCTGTAGGTGTGATTGTGAGTGTGAATGGTGGTTAGTCTCTATGTGCCCTGCGATTGATTGGCAACCAGTGTAGGGTGCACCCCGCCAATTGCCCAAAGACAGCTGGGACAGGTTCCAGCACACTCCGCAACCCTCGTGAGGTTGAGCGGATTGGATAACGGATGAATGGATGAACATCGTCATTGTGGTTACACTCAGATTAAGTGCTGTTTCGGATAAAAAAATTGCATATACTTCACATACAGTGGTTGGTCACTGACACAATCATCATAACTGAGTCACAAGGTTGGTTGCACATGACTTCACCAATGAAAAGGAAAAATGGTGTTGCTTCTAGTACAGCTGTGAAGTGTACTTTGTTATCCAATGTGCTAAACAGGAACTGGCAGCATTATGAAAACCTTCAGCAGACAAAGGCAGCAAGCCGGTATTATGCACCTGCTAAACACTAACAACCTGACGTCATAACATGGTGTCTTCAAATCAACATCGTCCTGATTATGTCATGAACAGCAACACTTTTATAAGCATTGCAGACAGCGCTGAAGTGGGTTAACACGAACAGACCATATGGGGTGTCCTGTCTGATCGACCATTACAAAATTTACAATGTAGATGTTGTTGCCATGACAACAATGGACGGTACTGTATTCATCTTAACACACAGCAACACACTGTCACAATGATTTCAAACTTCTCTTGTAGGGCAAAATTACTCACTTTTGCTATGTACTCTTTTCTGTCACACCCTACTCGCCCCTCCACTCACTGATACTGTTGTCCAAAATGTAGAAGTGTGTGGTCTGACTTCACAGGAAACAGTCTCACACGCTTCAGATCCCCACAGGCTCCTTGCTGATGGATGCCGAGGCACGCTGAGAGGGATGGTGGAGGTGAGCTTTAGCAGATGCTGTGGTGTGCTGATAAGTGGTCATTCTGGGTCTCATCTTGGGATTGATGCAAGATGGGTCTCTTAAACATGGAAGAGATGTAGAAGGCCTGACAAGACACAAGAGATGTGAATGAATGTTGGAACCGGCACCAGAAGAACCAAGCAAATGGCGGAACTCACCACCCAGTATGCGGTGAGTGCTCCAAGGATGTAGCCGACAAGGACGTCCGATGGATGGTGTCTGTTGTCGGTGATGCGGGTCAGACCCGTGTAGATGGCCAGCAGAAAAAGAAAGAACTGCAGCACGGGTCTCACTAGGCGGGCTTCGCGACATGTCAATCTCGCTTCAAGATAAAACTATTTTAAAAAAATATATAAAAAACAGTCAGCGTGCTGGCATTTCCGTGCGTCATGTAAAATTGACCGAGCCCTCTATTTAATATGGTGAAGCAATGCAAAGCAACGAATTTCCCCAAACTTCAGCACAGTATGACAGTTCAGGCAACACAAGAGAAGAGTGCGATATATGAAGAGCTTAGCAAATACTTGATAAAGAACAGCCACCGATTTAACTATTTGACGTTTGGTGTATTCTAAGTCGCATTGACCAAAAAACAGAAATCTGTGCTCACGCCATAAATTTGAAGTCATCATTTGTGTTTACATGCAGCTGTCAGGGAATTCACCCGAACATCTTGAACTTTGAATGAAAAGACTCTACTCAACTCAGGAACAGATTGTCTTTTGCTGATCAGCAAAGGGGGCGAAGTTCCTCTAAGGCAACACAAGTCGTGTTTCCTCTCAGATCGAAACCCCACCTTCACACCCCCGCTGACCACTTTTTATTCACAGGATATGCAAAATACAAGTCACATATCAGAAAAACATTCCTCCTCATTTGCATGTCGCGCTTCCCAGCCCAGTCCACCGATATGCCCCTCAGTGGACACCTGGAGGCCAAAACATCTTCCGGTGCAAACAATGGATACCTTGTTAATACAATGGGTAGATTTTACATGAATTGAGACACTGTAACAAACTGGAGGACATCTGCCCTCCCGTAGTTGAACCTTCCTGCCTGTCTTATCAGTTAATGAGGGCCTGGCGTCCTTCAGCTCAAGTTGGCCCTTTTTTCTGTGTGCTCCATTGCGTACAAATTGTGAGAATATAGTGTTCAAGGTCAATCAAGCATATACTGAAATGAAACTTTGAAACATAATATTAAGTTTGTCTTTCTCCATCAGCAGCCCACAATCTTTTTGTGTTGACAGAGGAATGTGTGCTAATGTACGGAGGCCCAGACATGACATGAAGAAAAAAACGCCCTTTATGCGCACAAACTACTAATTTGTATACGAAATAGTTGCAGCGTGCACACGAAGTAGCGCTGACCTCTTATTGGACAAGAGGGTAAACAAATCGAGTGCACCTTCCCTAACTCGCTTCTCACTGACCTATTCAGTGCCTTCAAAAATCCACGAGTTGTTGCATCTGACGTTTTTATTTTTCTCAACATTATGTAGTGATATGACAAAATGTTTTCATTTCATATACATCCACCGGTAACCATTGTCCCACCTAGAGTGTTGCAGTTGCTGGACAATAAAATCGATCCTGTCGTCCAAGTCGTACCTCCACCGGTAAAGCAAGTTTGCTCTCAACAACCTATTCAGTTGTCTCTCGGTTATGATTCCTCGCAATGCCAAGCGTTTCATGATGTCCTTGTAACTCCTCCCGAGCCTAAAATAAATTTCGATCACAGCGTGTGCACAAAGTAGTTTTGTTTTGTTTTTTTCAGAGGTCATGTCTGGGGCTCCATACTAATGTGTTAGAAGCAGTTAGTGTGAAAATTAGCTGATGCAGAAAAAGATAAACCAAAATAAACATCCAAATGAAAATCAACAATCAACATGAGACTAGTACACAAACCCCTTCGTAGTAAGCATAAGCGTGTATAAAAATGTCATCGAATGAGTATGAATGCTCCTCCATCAACACATAAAAATGCAGCTCCTCTCATACAAAAACTCCCAGACAATAGAGGAGAGCAGTGAGGCAGGGAGCCAAGGTCATACCCCTCCCACAGCAAAACAAAGCGACTTCTGTCTCTCATTTCTCCTTCCAGTATTTCCCCTTCTCTGTTTTCTCATGCGTTCACACAGTGCTGCTCACTGGACTGGCGATGGCTGTGTTTCATTCGTTTTCAGCATAAAAGCACTGCTAATTGTAAAATGTGAGGGGCCACACAGCAATAAAGATAGAAAGGAATTTTTATAAAATATACTCACAGCTAAATACAGCATCGTGTACATCGCAAAGGAGGCATGACCAGAGAAGAAGGACTTCCTAAATTGAGAGATAAAAAAATTGAATTATAATAGCTGGAACAAAAACAATTTGGGAGTATGATCTCTAAAGTGTTAAAATGTTACACGGAGTCAAGTCTGAAAAAGTGATGTGCTGATCAGATAGATGGATGGATGGATGGATGGATGGATGGATGGATGGATGGATGGACTCGGTGGTGTAACATCAGCACATCTGAGTATCTGGGAATGAGCTGTGGATGACAGCAGCTGGTGTGAGTGTGCCCATTATGTTTGTTTTATTGTTCTACTGGCGACCGTGGCGCTCTTTTACCAAATGCAATGATCACTTTAAAAATTTAGATGAAAGGAAGGGTTGGACGAGCAGATGAACAAAGGAGCGGCAGCAAGTAAGTTGATTGAGACGTAACACACACACACACACACACCTGGCCTCCTCTATAGAACGGTGGTCAGTACTGTTGCATCTGACAGACTCCAAATAGGTTCCATGCGTGCAGTTGAGTGAGACGTAGGTGACACCACACACCGACAAGAAGTGTGGCCGCAGTCGGCCAATGCTCAGCTTGGCTACGTTTGTCAGGGATTGGCCGACGCAGCAGCCAAACAGGAAGGAGCCCAACTCCTTGTAGAGACAGGACACATACTTGTTCCTGAGGAAGGCCTTGGAGGTGACGCCAAGGAAGCGCACGCGGTAACATTCCCCTACAGCGATCTGCAGGTAGACATGTGGTCACAACGATTATGTTAAGAGTCCAAATGTATGGAATTCACTGTAGTACTCACACCGAGGCCCGTGATAAGGATGCCGCCAGCAATGAGCAGTTTGTCCGATATGACCTCCGACTGCAGGTACGGGTAGGCGATGCTGGTGTCCCCACAAATGAAGCCTCTTGTGTATGGTCTGACCATTTTTAGCTCACTTAAAAAGAAAGGGATGGAAACTGGGGGGGATGAGTGCGATTGTGATTAAAATGATGCTTGCATAGATTCATTCTACAACAAACACAACATTTTTTCGAAAGGTTTAGCAGAGAACAGGACAGTAGAAGAAGAGAAGTGATTTGTTTTTGACTTGAGCTCAACTCTCCGCTGGAAAACAAAAGACTGAATTCTGAAACAAACCAGAGCCAGAAGCTGCCTGACACTGCCTATACCCAACGCCACCCCCCCACCTCCCGATACTCTTCTCTGCCTCCCAGCTCACACTCCTGCATGCACACAATCGAGGAGGCAACTGGACCGACAAAAATGTCCAACACATTGTCCTCTGAACGTTTAAGATAGGGGTTAAAACACACGACCTCTCCGGCCAGCGAGTGTGTGCTGATTAACCACCATGACGTGACCTCTTCCTGTCACTACGAGAGACAGTGACACACACGCACACACGCATGCACCTGGGGCTCATACATATATTTATTTATAGCAAATATAATTCCCCCGATTCCCCACCGACTTTACTCTACCCTGAGAACAAGTGGTTGCTATAGAAACAGTCGAATTCCCTGGGCAATGCACAAAGCAGCTGGCAGAGTCTCTGAGTGTGCATGGGTGGGAAACAAGAGTCTTACATGCGCATAGAGGGAGTGAAAAAAGTTTTGGGGTGAATATATTTCTTTGAATGGCAGCGTGTTCAAGAGAAGTCACCGTACTAAAAACAGCAGCTGCTGAGCAATTTCATGACAAAATGTGGAAACAAAACTGAATCTCTTGTTGGCAAACCTCTGCCTTCGTGACAAAACATCTCGGCATTTGGACTGGTGAGTGCTTACACAACGCCAATGGGACGATGCATTTTGAGGGAACTATTTATATAAGTGAGGAATTTACAAAGCCAATTCCAATGACATTGGAATGTTGAGTTCAACATAAATAAAAACAGAATATATTGATTTGTATCATGTTCAGTCTAGATTTAATTGAATGAACTACAAAGAAAAGATATTTAATATTCAAAAGGATAAACTTTATTTTTTCGCAAATAATCATCAACTCAGAATTTTATGGCTGCAACGTTTGAACGCTGGCTTTCAAACTTTGCAGGGTTCGATTCCTACTCCGGCCTTCCTGTGTGGAGTTTGCATGTTCTCCCCATGCCTGTGTTGGTTTTCTCCGGGTACTCCGGTTTCCGCCCACGTTCCAAAAAAAATGCGTGGCAGGTTAATAGAACACTCTAAATTGTCCCGAGTTGTGAGGGTGAGCACGGATGGTTGTTTGTCTATGTGTGCCCTGTGATTGACTGACAACCAATTCAGGGCGGACCTCGCCTACAGCCCGAAGACAGCTGGGGGATAGGCTCCAGCACACCCCGCAACCCATGTGAGGATAAACACATCAGAAAATGGATGGATGGACAGATAACAATAATAGAAAAAAATAAAAATACACTTCATATCTATCTATCTATCTATCTATCTATCTATCTATCTATCTATCTATCTATCTATCTATCTATCTATCTATCTATGTCTATATCTGTATAGATAGATAGATAGATAGATAGATAGACAGATAGAAATATATATCCATATATAATATATATACCCCCCCCCCCCCGCAATGGGCTGCATTAGCTGAAACTTAAACACGTTTTATTTCACTCCAATTGTTCGGCAGAAAAACGGACTTTTAGCAAGTCAAAAGAAATAGAAAAGACGGATATTATATTCACCTAGGAAAAGGCACAGGACGTCTGAAACCACCAGAAACTTCCTTGCGAATAAAGCTTGTCCACTGTGAGTCAGTTTATTGCCGGTGATGTTCTCCATCCCCGCTGCTGGTGCTGCCGGTTGAGAGCCGCTCTTGGTGTTAATCCCTTTGGGTCGGATAATTTGGTTCGGTCGGAGCTCTGCGCTCACACGGGCGCGCTGTGGTCCCAACTGGTCCAGGTGAACAACTTCTCATCACAAAGTTCAAAGAGCGAAAAAAGCGACGCGTCAGAGCGAAGTTGCCCCTTCACGCGTTTAAGATGTGACGACATCACATCCTCCGGAAGACTCGTTCGAACGGGCAACTAGCATTTGATGGGCATACGTCACGTTAAAACTATGCGTTGCGTGTGGTGGCCTCGCTTTGTCTCGCTGCCATTTTAGCGTTTATCCTCTTGAGGGCTCTGGACCCTATCCCAGCAGACTCCCGGCGGACAACGTCCTGGACTGGTCGCCAGTCGGGCGCAGGGCAGAGTCCAGACAACCGTTCTGGCTTGTCACACTGTTCCTAAGTGGGGACTGAAGTGCCTGCACCGAAGTCTGGCGAATATACCACAATACATCAGTGACAGAAAGAGCCATCATGTCAAATCACTGGGATGTTCAGATCGAGTCTTTTAGAGGGTCTGTGCTCAAAGTTAAAAGTAGGCACATGGGAGAAGAGTTTCTATATGACTCATGAGTGTACTTTGTAAAAGTAGCGTTATCTAACCTTTACTGAGCCATGGAAATCATTTTCCATCATAAAAATCTCACAAAACACCACCAAAAAATGAATGCTGTATTTAACCCATTTAATCCCACCGGTCACATTTGTTAAAGACAACAATGATTTAATTTACAGAGCTCTAAAATTTGTTATTACTGATTACTTAAAAGGGCTACCACCAATGACACCTGATTTTGACTTTTAAATGTCTGGGGAAAATGTGGGATTAAATGGGTTAAAAAGCAATGAACTCGTTCTCGTCTCATTTTACACAAAGAAATTTACTGAGCCTAAAACAGTGTTTTGTTAACCTGGGTTCGATAGAACCCCAGGTGTTCGGTGAATCGGTCTCAGGGGTTCGACTCAACATATCAATTAGTTATGACACGCCCGCTTGGCCATCACTGGCTGCAGATGATCACATTACATTGCTTGTCCAATCAGTGCTGCGGGAAATTTAGTTCGCTCAGTAGTCAGCGTGTGACGGTCGTGATAGTACGGCATGTGATTTTTTTTTTATTATTTCTTTTTAATGTTTTAACACATGCTATGTCGAGCAAAAATGGAAAGTGGTCGGACGAATATGTACCACACGGATTCACATGCACCATGGAACGTGACGGGACTCGGCGTCATCTGCATGATTTGTCATGCCAAGTTGAGCAACTCTACTCTCGCACCGGCAAAACTGAAGGAACACCTCTTGAATCAGATTTTTATTTTTCACTAAGGGTTCGGTGGATCCGCATATGAACTGGTTGGGTTCGGTACCTCTAACAAGGTTAAGAACCACTGCCCTAAAATATAGTCAGAAATGATTTTCTCAGGCCCTCCCTACGAATCAGTCAAGCAATCCTGGAGCCGTCCATGTATTGTGCTGATTTGACCCTCGTGTTGTAGGATGGCAACTGCGCTTTGGAAAATAATTACATCTGAGAAACACATTTATGCAAAAAAAGCGACACTGAGGACATTTGTTTTGATTTTATAGTGTACTCCTTGTTCTTCAGTCAGAGCACTTTGAATGGCCACAGTCCGTTCGTCGCAATCATGGAGAGGAAGAATGTGCTTCCATTAATCACATGGCAAGCAGTTAATAACACATCAGTCTGCAATGCAACCGACCAGAATGTCTAGCCCAGGGCTGTCAAACTCATTTCACATTGTGGGCCACATACGGCCTCGGTCGATGTCAAGTGGGCCGGACCATTAAAATTATACCATGCTCTGCTATAAATAACCAAAATATCATGCATTTCCTTTGTTTTCGTAGAAAGAAGCACAAGAACATTAGGAAAATGTTGAAATTTAATGAACATATCTTTTACAAAACATTTGACAAAATACCTTGACTCTCTATTTCAAGTCGCAGTCTAAATCTGATGATCGGTCCGAAATCCTCTCTGGTATAGTATTCCTCGTCAGGCTAATATTGGCAAAAGCTTGTCGCTTCTCGGGACATACAAGTTCAGCCGCCTTCATCATGCATCGTTTAACAAAGTCACTGTCGGAATACATCTTTGATTCTTATGCTATTTCGCTAGCAATCAGGTAGCTGGCTTTTATTGCTATGTTGCGGCTGTCTCAGTGACAGGCTGAGACCGCTGTTGACTTTTTCTCTGATCAAAACAATGTTGTCTTCTACTCTGATCAAAACAGTGTTCTCCTAGCGGATGATCAATGAATTGCAGCTTGTTAAAATATTCATTCCGTGTCTTTTATGTATTTTTTCACTTTTAAATTATCCTGCGGGCCTGACCGAACCTCCTTGGGGAGGTTCCGGCCCTCGGGTCGTATGTTTGACACCCCTGGCTCTAGCCTGACTGCTCGGTTCTTCCTCGTAAGGTGTCTTGATGTATGTATTATGGTACTGTTTAACCTGACAAACTCTCACCCCGTCCTAAAAGGCTCTGGGGTAACTTGTCAAAAATTGGGTCATTAAAAAAGCCAAAAAAAACAAAAAACAGACCAGAATATATAGATAACTTTTTGTTTAAGTGATAACATTATTTGATTCGTTAAGTCCAACCCCTTGCCGCCCTCTGAAGCAACGTGTCTCAGTTGTGTGAGAACGTGTTAGTGTTATGTTTCTGTTTAGGTCACGTTTTTTTTTTGGTTTCCTCATGTGCCCTTTTTGTCGCCACCTTTTCTCGTCATCTGTGTCCCTTGTGTTTAACCAATCAGCTCCCTCAACCCTTCGTGTCTTGTCCAGGTGTTTCTCCATTTCTCCTCACTTTGCTTGTATTTAGTTCCCTGAGTTCTGTCAGTCTTTATTGGGTCTTTATTGGGTCATTGGGAGTGTGAGTATGTGAATATACGTGTGCTCCTGTCATGTTGTGTTTGTTACTTTGGTTCCTTGTGATTTCCAGGAATTTGTTTGAGTACTTCGAGGTTAGTGTGAGTGGTTTCATCGAATAAGAAGGCAAGATGAACCTCAAAGCGCTATCCATCACCATGTTTTTGTCCAATTTAAATACCTCAGCTACATCGTTCGCCTCCAGCCTGTATGAGTCAAGTGAGCCGCCTTTTACGCCACTAACACAAGCCTCTTCACCTCTCTCAGGAGGCGACGTTGTTGAATGTTAAAGACTGAGGTTTTTGAAGATTAAAGTAAATATGTGTACTGCTGTATTCTTTGTCTTAAATATGTAAAGGATATATAAATACTGTTTACATATTTTAAACATGCTGGTACCTGTGATGTTTCTTGCTTGCAATAACATCAATGATCAGACAGACAACGGCATGTCACTGGTCTGTTGTCAACTGTCTGTAGTCTCAGACCTTCACCAACAGAGGATGCTAACATACTGTGGAACAGCCGTGAAATTCAGGTTCACGTGTAACTGTATGCAACTATTACATCCACGTACAAACACGAAAATTGCTACAGGGGGCAAATTCTACTTGGCGTTTTCTCACTTTTTGCGGATCCGATACCAATTAACAGCGAAAACAGGGATTACTGTATATTTTCACCCAGTTGTTTTCAGAGTGTGTTTTTGTGCACGCACACACACATACTCATGTTTCTTCATTTATGTCCATCCCAGTTCTATTGTTTTTTTTCTTTTTTGATATCATTACGTTGAGCCACCATTTTTTTGTTTTGTTTTGTTTGCGTTTCAGCAAACAAAACAAAACATTTCCTTCATTATGAAAACCGATGTACATATAGTCACTGTCTAAATAATAATCTGTGTAATTTAGAGTCCAGTATATTTCAGCAATAACTGCATACAAACAATGGTATGTTTTAAGTGTGTATTTGCATACATACAGTATTCAGATATACTATATACAGGTGGACAAATAGTTAGCATATCCGCCTCACAGTTCTGTAGTCAGCCTACAAATCTGGCCTCCCTGTGCGGAGTTTGCATGTTCCCTTGTTTGAGTGTATTTTCTCCATCTTCCTCCCACATTTCAAAGCATGTCAGACTCCTAAATTTTCCATAGGTGTGTAACTGGTTATGTTTTTTTTTTAAAATTGGATTAAGGAATAAAGGCTTGGGTTTTTGGCTCTCAGGGATCACATAATTTGCTGACTCTAACTCTGCAATCTCAATTGTGGCTGAAACAAGTTTGAGGCAGCTAGTGGAACTATGTGTCAGGAAAACAAACTTCTCCTTTGCTGACTGTCAAAATGGTTTGCAGCACTGTGAAGGTGAGTGAGCGCTATTGTCAGAGTGAAAAGCGAAAGTGAACACAGTGAAAAGCCCACACCCCTTGCCCTAACTTTTCCCCCTCTTAAGTTTAGTGACGTTCATCTGTATGTCCTATCCTTAACTTCACACCTTGTTATGCTGAACTGTGAGGAAAACACAAAAAAAATGGACAATTTTTTTTTTCCCACAAAGGTTACGGCAGCCTAAAGTTACTAATAGCCAGGAATGACTCACACGACTTTAACTGGCTGGCTTTCATACTGTCATGAGTGTGACATGGTGACTTCCACATCTCTCCCTGTCCCTCCCCCATATCAAGGATCCTCCCATTTTCTCTTGTATATTCTCGAGTGTCGTTTTTCATGATACTCAAATTACCCAAATGCTGACTTCAAAGTCCGCATGTTATGTGTGATTACATCACCTGGAGAGATAATGTCATTTCCACTTTTTCAGTGCAAAATGTTTCAGTGGACTCCACACATCTGAAAAAGAAAAGGGAGCCCAACCACATTGGGAAAAAAAAAAACATTTTTATCATTTCATTGTGATGAATGTCATTCATTTCTTTTGACATATTCTTTTAGTTTTTTGGTTTTAACGTTTTCAAGACAAGAACAAATACAAAAAAAATGCTTAAAAAATCTAATTGTATCTTCCCTTCTTTTTTGAGCACAGTGCAAATGCCTTTTTGACTGTGACAAATTAAACTTAAACACAAAATACTACAACAACGATGCCAAATAATCTGGGTATCTTTATTTCAATTTATTTTCTTCTGTTTTATCTTGACTCTGTTTTTCATCTATGCTATATTTTACAATTAAACGTCACATTGCAATGTTCTTCGTATATTTGCATCGCTGTGAAAGGTTCAGAGCTCATCTCGGGGCTTTCTGTGTGGTGTTTCTCTGGGTACATCAGTGTTAAAAATGTCCACAGCTTGTGTGTTTGAATTGCATTGGTTCTACACTTGCGGCCCGGTGGGCCAGTGGTTAGCGCATTGACCTCAAAGTGCAGAGGTTCAATTCCACCTCCGGCCTCCCTGTGTGGAGTTTGCATGTTCTCCCCGGGCCTGCATGGGTTTTCTCTGGGTACTCTGGTTTCCTCCCACATTCCAAAAACATGCATGGCAGGCTGATTGAACACTCTAAATTGTCCCGAGGTGTGAGTGTACGCGTGGATCGTTGTTCATCTGTGTGTGCCCTGCGATTGGCTGACCAGTTCAGGGTGTCCTCCGCCTACTGCCTCCGAAGACGGCTGGGATAGGCTCCAGCACCCGTGACCCTTTTGAGGATAAAGCGGATCAGAAAATTGATGGATGGATGGATGGATGGTTCTCCAATTGTCCTTGATAGAAAGGGGTGGAGCTACACGGTGGGCAACTGTGGTCGCAGCCACCACTGGACAATTGCCAGACTCTCCAACTTCTGGACATGATTCTGTGTGCAGATAACTGGTTCTGTCTTACTGCCGTTCCCACACGATCTCAAGTGTGTCTCAGCTATCCTCAATGCCTTCCATTCGATGGTGAAAAGACTGCATTTTGTTCAACGGAAGCCACCCTATAGTCGTGGCTATTGACAGCTTGTTGGAGCTCATCGAGTTTCCCTCTCAGTTCGACAAACGAAGACTTTAGAGTCGACCGGTGGTCTGCTAATATGGCCACTAGCATGGACTTGCTAACGGCAGTAGTATCAGCATCTGGCTTTTTCAGCATCTTTATCCCAAAAAATTGTCAGAAAAAGCACACAGGCAAAATATTACAGTTAACCAATATGTCAGGCACTTCTTATACAAATGGGAGTCAAATTTGGAAGTTATACAGCGAGAGCGAGCGGAAAAGACGTCTCTAGTCAATAAGTGCCAAAGCGTAAGTCGAGTATGTGAGTTTTTGGGAGTTTCCCATTATTCATCAGTCGTCAGCAAAACAGGTCCCCATCAATGATGGATTAACGGATGTTCTGTCAATACTAACAGAATGCCCACCAAGAATAACTTAATGCAATCGAAAGCAATGGTTTGGTATTAATCCAATCAGTTCTGGCTTGATCATATATCTCCAATGGCTGCACAGGTGAATGAGGCATCACCACAGCTAGCTTCACTTTGCCACACCATATACAGCTGAGGCATAGACGCAATCAAGAAGGCATCAATGTGTATATATTGTAAATGTTGTCTATAATAATACTTGCCAGTGGTTGTCGCGAAGTGTGCCATTCAAGACAAGGGACTGTAGGAGCAGCAGTGCCACTAGTCTGGGTTCTTTATCATGTCGTTTGATGACCCAGTAAAGGGGTGAGAGTTAAACGTTTATTAAAATATTGGGGGGAAAAAACAACTTTACTAACTTTTCAGATCATTTTACAATATCGTGTTTCCTTGTAAATGTACTGCCGAGCCTAGCCAATCAAAGTTGCCGTTAAGACTGAGATTTCTGGCTTGACCAATGAGAAGCGTAGTACTATCGGCGAGTAGCACAATACAAAAACAAGCAAACAAACAAAGAAAAAAAATACAAAACATGCAAGATAGTGGACTCATAGACACACAAAATGTTATCAAGCAACAAAAAATATTGCGAGAAACAGGGACGGCTCCAGGATGTTTTCTCTCCCTAGGATAAAGGGGCAAAATAGCATATAAGTCAGTACAGTCTAAAAAATATCTTTTATTGTAGCACATAAAATGCTGTAAGGGCTTAAGTGGACCTACCCCTATTTCTGACATTTTCACTCTTACTAAGAGTGGAGTAGAGGTTTATCACGAACAAAAAATATTAAAGAATTGACTCCCCCACGCCACACCACCATGCATTTCATGTGCCCCATTTACGAACGGGTCTGCGTGATTGTGATACACACGCCAGCCGACTTCAGTGAGAGTTCGTGAGCTTGTTCGTTTCGCGCGCCCCCGCAAAGAGGGTCAAAGTCCGGGGTCCATTTTCTTGCACCAGTGCAGCCTTGTTCACACCCAAGAGAAATGTAAGTGCTTCGGTTCACTGAAGAAACGTGATTTTGAGAATCTAGGAGAAAACTGAACAGGAGCATGTACTGGTAGAGAAAACCCATGGAAGCCTGGGGAAAACGTACAAATCCCACACAGAAAGCATGAGCCAAGAATCACAGCATGTGTGGATTGGGCTGAGATGCAGACGTGCTGAACACACTCTGCCACCAGATCTTAATCCACTGGAGGGGGAAAAAATAATTTGCCAAAGGATTTCACAGTATGCAGCAGCAATTTTAAAATATCAAAAGTTTTTAACAATGGCTATTTTCATAAACTGTTTGACAGAAAAGTATCCTCTTCTTGTTTGCTAACTAACTATTTAGATTTGAACAGTCATATAATATGTTCTGGATAGGCAATACAATACAAATGCAATCGAAAAGGCGTGAGGAAAGCGATTGTGCCTCCTTTCGCTCTCTGAGTTGCGTCAACCACTCACCCACATGACGGGGAATTCCTGACGTCACATGAATGCATTAATATGATTGGCTGGCATGGGAGGCGAAACCGTTTGGTGTGGATGTGCCAAAATTGCGCCAGAAAACGTTTTTCCTCTCTTATTCCAATGATGTAACTCAAGCGCTGCACTCCATCCATACCTGCACAGCGTCCCCCGCACCCCGACCACCCTCTACCCCCCAATACCGGTGTTTTTTGTTGTTGTTCTGTTTCATTTGTTTATTTGTAGATTTAACAGGTGCTTTTTTTACTGGCGTTGTTTACCGATTTGATCGGGTCTGTTGCTGTTATTATTATTTTTTTTTCGTATATTCGCCGGGTTTAAAGTGTTGTTGTTGTTTTGTTTTATTCATGATCAATTTGACCGTTCAAAATATTTATTCAAATGTTTGTATGCCTTTTTTGTTGCTTTTTTAATGTCTTTCTTTATTTGTAAGGTTCACGGGTTAGATGTTTTGTTGCTCTTTTTTTTTTTTTTTTGGCATTTTGACAGTATGCCGGAGAGTGGAACCGGTTTCACTTCCTCCGTCTCAAAATAAATTATGCGGCCCAAGAGGTTGCGAAACATCGAGGAGTCTCGGAAAGTTTTCACGCCCCCGGGCAATGCATGGTGGAGGAGGAGGCGGCGGCGTGAGAATAAGGTAAGGAGGGAAACCCATGACTTCCGTGATTTTTCCTTTTGTGTGAAACGGAACTCTCGCCTTTTGGCTATAAAAGGGCCGGCTCGGCGACACTCTGTTCACTCCCGTGGGCCGGACAGGACTGTGGTGCAGAAAGAGCCGCCATCCTGTGGAAGTTACCCGCTACAATTAGACCACTTGTCACCTCAACCGTGCTCATGTGCGCATTGTTGGGACATAGACCAAAAGACATGGACATTGAGTGTCCGGAGAAGAGAAGCCGTGATCGTGGTCGTTGTCTGGACGTGTGCATGCTCGTGTCAATCCTCGTCCTGTTTGCAGCGCTCACGGCCCTGGCTGTAGCTTGCATCCCGGTGCTGATGGAGCTGCGCTCCACTGTGGACTCACGGCTGCCGCCGTTTCAATCTGCTCCGGAAGAACTGAGAGGACTCGCATCGAGCCCCGCATACAAGGTTCATTTTGGATTTTTTAAATCAGACATATCACTCAAATGCTTTTTCCTCTTTTGCACAATATATGACGTATTATGCCATTGTTGTTTGTCTGTTGACAGATGCAGAACTTTGCGTTCTTGGAGGCAGTCTCAAGTAAGTCCATTTATTATTTTGGGTGAGATGTGTTTGAAAATCATCCATCCGTTTTCTCCAGCGCGAATCCTAATTAGTGTCTAGCTGTATCAGCTGATTCTGGGCGAAAGGCGGCGCAGGGACTGTGCACCCTATCCGGATACAACCATTAACACCTACTGATAATTTCGAGTCTTCAATGAATCTAACATGCATGGTTTTGGAATGTGGGACGAAGGCGGATAGGATGTCAACTCTGCAGTGGAAGCAATAAAATATTCTAGCCTCATTATTTTACATTATGATTTTTTGCTCACTTTAGAATCTAGGAAAGTTATTTAATATGCGTTTCCATTGTCATGACCAATCTTCGAGAGTACTGCCTTATTGTGCAAATTTCAAATCAGTTAGCAACGTGGCTCCTTGCTCTATCAACGACACTCTTACTGATGATTACATACCATTAATGTGTATTATTAGTTGTGGCGTTGCATGTTTAGAATAGAGATTATTTATGTAAAAATAGAAATTAACAAAATGTCAAATATCAGTCATCTCATCACATTTGAAGTGAATTTGAGGTCCAACAGTCATCAATATAAAACATGAGCAGACTCTATGTCCTCATTGACCGAAGGGGAAATGAACATTCACTTAGATCAATGAAAGCTGATTGAGAATCACCTCGTTGAGGTTGCCGGTTTGAATCCGGCTCCGGCCTTCCTGTGTGGAGTTTGCATGTTCTCACCGTGCTTGCGCCGGTTTTCTCCTGGTACTCCAGTTTCCTCCCATATTCCAACAAAACACACAGGTTAGTTAGGTTGATCGAACACTCAAGTCTAGATCGTCCCGAGCTGTGATTGTGAGCACGAAGGGGTATTTGTCTTTGTGTGCCCTGCAATTGGCTGGCAACCAGCCTACTGCCCAAAGGTAGCTGGGATAGGCTCCAGCATCCCCGTAACCCTCACGAGGATAAGCAGATCAGACAATGGATGGATTAAACAATTATTTCTGAAAGCAAACCTCACATACATTGCAACAACAAAAGACCTTTTGACGTGCAATTTTTGAATGGATATTTGAAAGCGAACCTAAGATAAGCAGGACAATTGTTTTTTCCTTGATATGGATTAATGTCAGCTGTCTCTCAGCTGCCCATTCAGCTTGGGGCCTTTGGTAGTTGTCTAAATTGCCTGCCTTGTTCTGACGTCTCCGGTTCTGTAAATGAAGGAAGGGAATGTCCCTAATTGGATGCGTTTGTCTCTTTTTGCAGGCAAGTTGGTGAACTCAACCGTTCTGTGGGATCCAGTCCACTACGGCACTGAGAAGTCTATTGGAAGCAAATTCCATTTTGACTCAAAGCAACACTCGCTGTGGCCCCAACATGCGGGGATTTACTTCATCTACTTGAACCTCAACCTGACCTGTACGTACAATTGCAATGCCGGCCTCCTCAGCGTGCGTGTGGGAGACACACTGAGCTGCCAAGTGGAGCTTCGCGCAGAGCCGCTTCCACAGAGCAAGAATTGTTGGACAGTGGGCTGGTTGGACGGCAACACGCGGCTGCTCACCCACATGAGTATACCGAAAGAGGGACTGCAGGACTGGAAGCTGGAGCTCACTGGTTCCAATTTGGGCATGTTCCTTGTGGACTAATATCTGACATCAGAACCGCCTCCCTGTGACCTGTAAGTAATCCAACGAAAGAACTAAACAGGAGTATCTTGTGAAAGAATTTGCAGATCTCACGTGGGGAAAAAAAAAAAAGAAGAAGAGATGTTGCAATCAGGAAGCAGATATGGACTCGACACTGACTGCCTCTTTGTAATAATTTGCATATTTATTTGGCAAAATGGGATTATTTATGTTGCAGGTTGCTGTATGTCAAATACGATGCTATTATATGTTAAGAACACTACATTAGTGTTAATGTGCAATCCACTTTGTTTTTATTTTGAGTTGCTCGTTCTGTTTTTGTTTTATAAATGGCTTTGAGATTCTCTTCTGGTTTCACTTCATGACGTGTTGGATAAACACCAGTCAAGATCACAGTCAAGATCAGTTGGCAGCACTGCAACACTGACTGTAAATTATTGCTTGGGTAATAACACAATAGAAAGTTGAAGGCGTGATTAGTTTTGCAAACAAAGATTGAGGGGGAAAAAAGAGCCCCAAAATATTTACGGAGCAGTTCAGTTTTGCTCAATAAACACAAACTAAGATGTAAATACAAGCTTGTGTAAGATCAACTTGAATTTTCACTCAAAAAGGAATTGATTGAATTGATGAAGCTTTTGTTGTCATCCACACATTCATTCATTCGCTGCACTGCTGATCCTGTTCAGGGCGTGATGGAGTCGATCCCAACTTTCTTGGGATGAAGCACTCCCACAAACCGGTCGCCAATCAGGCACACATAGACGACTGTCGACAATTCAGTCTCCCATTCACGCCGTTTCTGACTGAACTAAATCCTTCCATGCATGCTCGGGAGTCAGTGACTCCCGTCAACCAATTCCATGCACTTGTAGTTAATTTCCAAATCTGAAGAATCAAACAAGTAAGCGGAACAGGTTGACAGGAACGTACATGTTTCATTTAAGGTGTAAAATACAGAGATGTAGCTCTAGATTTGGGCATTGTTCAAATAAAGTGTAACCAAAGGATGTCAGGTGTATTGTTGAATGCACAAATTGTGGACTTGCAAAATGTGATGAACCAATGTAAGTCCAATGGACAAACTGCACCGCGCTGATTGTATCCATATTAACATGGAAATAAATATATGAGCTCATATTTCTGTTTGTTTTTGCATGTGTGTCTGCGCGTGTGTGTGTAAAAAGGAGAAAATGACGTCTGTGAAAGCAATTGCGACAAAGTTATCAGTGGAATATTTGAAAAGTGTCTCGCGAAAGGGAAAGTTCCCTCTAGTTGCAAGTAGCGGGAAATAACAGTGCATCACTTCCTGTTTATTTATTTTAAAGTGTGGTTTAGTTAAAAAAAAAAAAAGCCCATAGCCACCCGAGGTGGCAATGTTAACAAAAAAATTAATAGAAATTGTTCCTCGGCATTGTGACTCGTAAGCTTTATTTCATCGAAAGCAAATTCCAGAAGTGTTTGTCTTTGGTTACTTGCATGTCGTGCACAGACGGTTAGAATAACCTTTAAAGATTCAGCATGCTCAGCACAAATTTTGTTGGAAATGCCACATCAGTTTCGCATTTATGATTGTGATTATAGTTTGCATTGTAGTTGCACATTGAATATATAATTACGTTCATATATTTTGTTGTTGTTGTTGCGGTAGAGTTCTACACCACAGAAAACTACAACTACAATAATAAATGTATTGTCTGTGATGTCATTCTTGCGCTGGATCTCATTCAGACAAGATCTTTCGGGAAAATCGAAGACGTAACAAGCAGCGCAGGATGAAAAATTGAGATTTATTTATTTATTTTTGGATAAATGTATAAAAGCCAGACAGGTACTGTATGATTAAATACATACTGTAGAACGTTATATTTTTCACCGAAAATTTATTATTTTTAATGAACAAATGGAAATTCAGAGTAAATCAGTTTTTGAATTGTTTTGAGATTACCACCAACCACATACTGGCCAACGTTCATGTTGTAAGGTGTACACAGGAGATGCGGATGTGTTGATTTGGGGCTTACGACAGGAAATAACCCAATTATTTCAAGAGTCTGTCTAAACATGGTCTCTCCGTTCGCCACGTGGTTTCCATATCTTGTAGACTCTTTTTGTCAATTTCCATGCTGTGCAGCCTTGCATGCACTTTGTTCTGAAGAATGATACTTTTAGCAAAGCCCCGACACCGACATTTACACAGTCCGATGGAAACATATTTGGACAATGAGTTTTGTTCCTTCTGCCTCCATACTTCATCACAATCCTTTTTTAAATAAAAGTCAAGATGTCATCAAAGTGTAAGATTTCAAGTTCAATTAAAGTCGCTAAAAAGATGTGCTGGAGCCTACCCCAGCCATCTTCAGGCAGTAGGCGGAGGACACCCTAAACTGGTCAGCCAATCGCAGGGCACAGAGAGACAAACAACCATTCACGCTCACATTCACACCTGGGGACAATTTAGAGCGGCCCATTAACCTGCCATGCATGTTTCTGGAATGTGGGAGGGAACTGGAGTACCCGGAGAAAACCCACACAGGCACAGGGAGAACACGCAAATTCCACACAGGAAGGCCGGAGTCGGAATATTGAATGTTTCTTTACACATTGCAAAAAGCTGAGTCAACCACACCAACCCGGCCGTCGTTTTTCTGGTCGCCTTTCTATCCTCTCCTTTTTGCATCTATCCCTCACCACATCCTGCTCTTAACACACACACACACACACCCACACGCACATGCACGCACACACACGCACACGCACACACACTCACACACACACACACACACAAAACAAAAAAAAATGGTGGGGCGTTGATGGAAAAGGAGGGGGGGAGAGAAACTTCGACGAACACACACACACACACACACACACACACACACACACACACACATTGCTTTGCAGGCGCATGTTTTAAGAAACATCAGCAAATTTGCAACTGTGTAATGTGACCTGTAAGTTTGTGCTTAGCCTGTATGTGCCTGGAGCACTAAATATAATTGCAAACAAATTTAGGAGTGTTTTAACAATCCAGAATAGATATAATCATATACTGTGGTAATACAGAGAAATTTTTATCCATGCAACAAATAATCTACTCTGAATATCAGCTATAGTTTGAGATTACAATCATTTGCTTTTTTTTTTGGAGTGCTTCAAGTACATTCAGAGAAAAAGGAAGGAAGAAATTAATCACAATGAAACACATGTGTGATGAGTTAGATATATTTTTAAACATGTTTCTGTGCAGATATCATAAAGGCGCCCATAAAATTTTCAGTCGGTCCTGGACGCAACTTGCGTATGCTATCCACTATGACAAAAATTTGATCTCCGGACTGCAGGTGGAAAATTCCCGCCAGGTAACTGTCCCATAGATCCTCTCCACCTGATGACTTGACACTTGAAGGTTCTGGAGTCCAGCAGCGGGACCTGGAGGAAAGAGTCGACATAGCGCCAGCAATTGAATGGCCCCACCCAGACTGAGAACAGTTTGAAATGGTTGTGGAGCAAGTTAGCAACTGAAAAAGAAAACAAGGTGCTCACTCACCTCTTTGATTGCATAAGTTCTATAGATTGGTCGTATGCTCCTGTGTCTTTCATCACTTTGTGCTCGATGAGCGAACACACTTCTGCAGCATTTATCTGCACTTTGGAGTAGAGGTAGTAATAACCGTCCTTCTCCACCAATAGGCGGCCATTTTTGTAGCCCATCTGGTGGGTGATGGAGTCGCCATCTTTGTCCACCCACTGCACCACATTTTTCTCCCCAAACTGATCGCTGCTGCCTGTCATCAAGTAAACAGAGGGGTCTACCAATAAATTCAAGCAGTAGCTATAATTGTCTATCTAAGCAGATACACTTATCTCCATTTTGATCTTCATTTTGTGTAACACTGAAGGTGTTGTATTAAGAGGACTCTTACATATCAGGTGAGCAAAGGGCTTCGGTCCCAGCAGAGTTGGTACTGGGTGAACCTCATTGGAGCCTCCTGTTTCCAGACGGGAGCAAATCAATCGGTATGACTATATGATTAATGACAGTCATCTATAATATTTTGAATCTTATCTGTTACCCATCAAATAAGGTTGGGAATCATCATAGATTTATCCGTTGTTCAGAGTTGTGTCAGCTGTGTAAAATGGATTTGTTGAGTGATTGTGTCATGAAGCATCTGAGGCATGTTTTTACTATTTGCATGGCTGCACCAGAGGACTACTTGACTTTATCTCCAATAGTGTTTGGTCTAAAGAAGACTCAGCTATCATCCACACTGACTTGAGCATGACATATTTTTCTATTTCCTGACACACTTGTGTTAATAAAAAGAGCCTGTTTAAATCATGGCAATAATAAAAAAAAAATCCCCATCAGATTGTAATTTTGGCTTTTGTTTTTTTTTTTTTGTGCAAGTTTCAACATAATAATCAAACCTTCCGATGGCACGCGACCATTTAAGGAGCCAACCTGCAAGAGACAAAAATAACTCTCGCAATTCAGAAGCACAATGTGACGTATTAATCACTGACAAACTCACCATTTAATCTTACCTGCTGGGCGGATGTTCTAGTGTTGGACATGTTTCGACAGAGAGGATCTGACACACAGATGGAAAATGCCTGCAAGGGGGAAAGTGAAAAGACGAGTTAGACAAAGCACAGTTAAAGTTAGACAAGCACAGTTAGATGTCACAAGTTCAAGAGCAGGAAGTGTTGTTGTTGTCTACAAACCAAAAGAGGGCTTTTGTGTGGAGATTTGAAAGGTGTCATCACAAGCACATGCAAAACGGTTTTTAGTTGATGTGCTGACGTACAATACAAATGGGAGTGAAAAGGTGGATGTCAAACTTTTGTGCTTTTACAATACTGTATATAAATATCGGGATGACCGTTAAATTTCCTGCTGTAGTAAATTAATGTCAAAACTATTTCTATAAATCCACTTTTTTTTATTTACTGAAAATAACTACCGAATAACTATTATGTAGACTTCATCATCATCATAATGTTTGCGATTACTCCTGTTAACAGGAAAACACCATTTTCTCTGTGCACACCGTGAAATAAAGTCCCTCAAAGTTTTAGAATGCAATCTAAAAGCACAAAAAACAGAAAAACAACCACGGTGGGGAAAAAATGAAGTAGTATGTCCAAACTATTTTGATTGACATCCCCTAACACTTAAACCATTATTGGAAGGAGTCGTTCTGAAATGTTAACGTCACTGGGGGCGGGGGTGGAGCGGGGGAATTCCAAAGTATTATTTTTTTTTAATGCTATTACGATCGTATTATTCAACAATTTACTGCTGTGCTGTTTTCACACAGTTACAGTATTGTTAAATATAGTTTTCAATAAATTGCAAAGTGCAAACTATAATGTAAGACATTTATTTTTGGAACGTGGGAGACCGTATCTTCCACTTGACACATTTGACACAATGGGCATGTGACTTCAGGAGAGATTGCCAAAGCAAACATAATGGGGATGTTGAGTTGTTTCAGCTTGTGAGTGTGTGTGTGCGTGTGTCTGTGTTTGTGAAAGATAGAGTGAGAGAGTTCATGACGTAAGGAAAGGGAAATTTTGGATGGAGAAATGCAGTCAACACAAGAGCAAGATTTGAAGACATCAACCTCACCTCAGTTATCAGGTAAAGTTTATAGACAAAACATCCCTCCACAACAAGTCCCAGCATGGCCAGCGCCACCACCAGCAGAAGAAACTTGTTTCCTGTCGGAGTCCATCGTGTTTTTTTCACAGGTCTGGGAGCGGGGAAGAAGCCAGCTTGGCTGTCCACCACAAAGACTTGAGGGTACCGAGCCACGCCGCCCTCTGCCATCTCCTGTCTCCCGCTCCACCTGTGATGCAAGGAGGCACAAGGTCACAAGGCCCATCTGGGCAAGGAGGCAGCGGGCATACTCGAAGGCAAGTCTCGACACAAAATGAAAGATAATGAAAGGAAGACAGAAAGATGGACAGACATAAACGGCCTGCAAAACAAATAGCGGTTCCTCCCTGTGGGAACATGTGATGCAACCTCACTTCTCGGAAGTGAATACTCCATAGTCTATTGCAAGAATATGAGTATAGCGTTTGAGAACAGACATTACTACATTTAGCAATTTTTATTTTTTTTTACAGACAATACCTTGGATTTATTGATGCTCCAGATGTTTCTTCTGATCTCAGCCACACATCCAGCAGATAATTTACCCAGGTTGGGATGCTGTAAAGACAGCTAAAGACAACAAAACAAAATAAATAAAATAAACAAAACACGCAAAATGATTAAAACAACCACATCGATGGGAGACATTAAATGAATGAATAATATTGTGAGCTTGGAAAAATGCCTCACCTTACAGCCACCACTATAGGTGAACACTGAGCTGACTGTCTTGCCACACGCATATCCTGCTGTCACCAATATTGTTTTTTTTTTTTTAAAACAAGCTCGTGTAAGGAGGAAATGAAGATGACACAGGGAAGAAACAACCCGAGAGCAAGAGAAGATTGTGTGTCCGGGACACTCCCCATGATGAGTACCAAATCTATATTTATAGCAGTTTCTCATCAATGAAGCATACTAATCTTAGCAATGCAAATACTGTAGAAGAGGAATTGATTCAATATTGGGTGGCTACTCGTGTTACTGTTTGAAGGTGACAAATGGCTTGCACAGACATGAACATGTAGTCCACATTCTATTAATTGTCCTCATGCGCTTTGTCACCACTTAGATGACAGCGAGTATCCCCTCATAGTGAGTATGACAAATACTGGAAGTTGTGATTGTGATTTATAGTTATTCTCCATGAGCTCGCGTGTTTTTTGAAGGTGAATGGCTTGCACAGACATGAACATGTAGTCCACATTCTATTAATTGTCCTCATGCGCTTTGTCACCACTTAGATGACAGCGAGTATTCCCTCGTAGTGAGTATGACAAATACTGGAAGTTGTGATTGTGATTTATAGTTATTCTCCATGAGCTCATGTTTTCTTCTCGTGTGTGGATAACGCTTTTCAGCAGCAGATTTTTCTTGCTCTTGGGCTCCTCCTGCAGTTGTGATGTGGCAAATTGTGGAAAATACAAATGACACTGCACCAGAAGTCAACACGTCTTTGTTTACTTGCAAATAATCGACACGACTTTTAATATAAGCACTCATCTGTATTGTATGGGACTTGTGTGTGGCAAGAGGGCTGCATGCAGCACTGAATAGTTGCATTCATAATAATGGGAACACAAACGCACCATGAGCATGTTATGGATTTTTAAGCAACGTTTTTTGTTTTCATTGAAGGTTTGTTACAGTAAATAAAAAGAAGAAGAAGACGAAGAAGAAAAAAGAAGAAGACAAAGTCGAAGAGCAAGAAGAATATGCAGCAGATGCACCCATTGCACCACAGATGTCACTATTGTCAATCATTAATAAATAAATAAATAATAAAAATAATCATAATAATAATAATAATAATAATAAATCGAAGAGCAAGAAGAATAGGCAGCAGATGCACCCGTTGCACCACAGATGTCACTATTGTCAATCATTAAAAAAAATAAATTAATTAAAAAAAAAAATAATAATAATAATAATCAAATAATCATCAAATAATGTTAGAGGTAGGTGTACTGTACTCTAATATTAGTTTATAAGACATGGATAACACAATTATTCATTTTATCTCTGGGCCAGTGGTTAGCGCATCAACCTCACATTGCAGAGGTCATGGGTTCAATCCTGGCTCCGGCCTTCCTGTGTGGAGTTTGTATGTTCTCCCGCGGCCTGTGCAGGTTTTCTCCGGGTCCTCCGGTTTCCTCCCACATTCTCAAAACATGCATGGCAGGCTGACTGAACACTCTAAATTGTCCCTAGGTGTGAGCATGGATGGTTGTTCATCTGTGTGTGCACTCCGATGGGCTGGCAACCGGGCCGGATAAATAAATCAGCGTTTCCATGGATATGAATGCACACTAAATTAGCTGTGAGGAGAAAAACAATACTGGATTATAACTAGTTGGCCAAATCGCTCTCAATATTTATTTCCAATAGATTAAAAAGTATTTTTCCCCACAATATATCCCCTTAGAGAAATTTAATTTGGCCATCTAGTTTTAGTTGTGTTTTCCCAAATTACTTCCTCACATCAATGACTGTAAAAAGGGCACGAATGTATATATTCAACGCAAATGTGATCGTGATGAACTTTGCACCCAATATGTTGTCTTTCTTGCAAAAGGGAATTGAACGTGATTTTCTCCATATGGTGAAGTCTAGTACACAGCACGCATATGCACACATTATTGTGTTTATTGGAAAGATGTCGGGTGGACAGATGGGAGTCTGCAGTTGCAGTGGGCTTGAATGAGTGCCATTCAATTTACAGCTATTGCGAAAGCACACAGTGAAAGTGTTTGTATGGTGTCCCGGAGGTAACGGTTATAGTGCAAGAATTTCCTCGCAATATAAAAATAAAACAGCCTCTTGGAAAATACGAACAAAACCAAACAAAATCGCAGGTCAGCTCCCCCATTTGTGACCCCTTTTGGGAGCCTGTCATAATAGTTTTCTACTAAAATCCCATCATATTTCACAACATGGTGCCCCCCCAACCCCCAACCCGCTTGTAAATTTGATATGTTTAGCCCAAACTTATTTGGCTGTCACTCAGTAAGTTAAGATTTAGCCGTTCGGGCTTGGTTTCGAGATCTGACGATGTTGGGCTCGAGACTCACAATGGAGTAAAGAAGCAGAACAACTTCCATCCTTGGGGAACAAAGGAATGTTACATTTCTTAAGAGTGCAAATTAAAGTTCTCTTCACGGGGTCTATGGGTGAGCGTTTTCTGTTTCTCAGCAGCCTCTTTATTAGGTACACTTGCAAAAGTTACTAATAGGTGTATCAAAATGATTACGTATTATGTAGAATGTAAGTTTTAATAAATCTGCAAAGTAATTTTTACCCGAGGAAATATTGGAAAGTTTTGGTTTTCTCCCACGTAAATCCAACAACTTGTCCTTTAGAGCCAATTCCCATATCACTTCCAAAGAACTTCTTATGGATTCTTCGAGGAACAGATATTCAAACATAGTCAATTGCTGTCTTCGGTCACATGTGTTCCCCAACGCTTTTAAAACGGAGGTGGTGAATCCCTTTCTGAAGAAGAACAATTTGGACCCCAGCATTTTTAATATTTACAGGCTTGTATCCATCTTGCGATTTTTAGGTAAGATTTGAGAAAACAATGGTTTCCCTCCAATTGTATTATTCTTTTAAAGGCAAATATTATGTGAGAGAAAGATCAGTCTGCTTTTAGGATGAACCATAGTACAGAGACGGTGGCTCTTTTAAAGATTTTAAATGATATGAGGTGCAAGGCTTGAAAAAACTCATAGCCTTGGTGCTGCTTTCGATACATAGATCACCACATTTTATGAAAAAAAATTTTAAATCTGATGGGCATTTCTGGTATGTCTTTTAACTGGTGTTATTCCCATCTCACAGACATGTTTCTTTGTAAGTATGGATACATGTTCATTCAAAATGCAATAAATTACATGTGGGGTTCCCTAAGGGTGGCATGGTGGGCGAATGGCTAGCATGTCGGCCTCCCAGTGGAGAGGTGCAGGGTTTGATTCCAGCTCCGGCCTTCGTGTGTGAAGTGTACATGTTCTGCCCGTGCCTATGTGGGTTTTCCCCGGGTAGTCCGGTTTCCTCCCACATTCCAAAAACATGCATGGCATGTTAATAGAATGCTCAAAATTGTCCCTAGGTGTGATTGTGAGTGTGAATGGTTGTTTGTCTACGTGGGGTGGAAACCAGTTCAGTGTGTCCTCCGCCTACTGCCCGAAGACGGCTGGGATAGGCTCCAGCACGCCCACGTGAGGAAAAGCAGATTAGAACATGCATGAATGGAAGTTTTCCCCAAAGTTAAATTTTAGGCCCAATACTTTTGAATCTTTATATTCTACCCATTGGGGAGGCCATTATGATACACAGCGTCAGCTTCCACACCTATGCTGAGGACACACAGCTGTACATCGCCGTGTCTACAAATAACACAGGGCCAATTGATACACTTTTAAATTGCATTTTAGATAATAAGTCATGGATGGCAGAGAATTTCCTACAGCTCAATCAGGACAAAACAGGTTTAGTTATCAGGCCTGAAGGTCAGAGAGAGAAACTTTTACTAAAACTAGAAGATTTTAAACCTTCACAGTGTATGAAGAACCTGAGCATCATTTTTGACTCTGATCTTAGTTTTATTCCTCATAAATGTAACTAAGATCTCTTTTGTTTTTTCAGAACGTAGCCAGAGTCTGCCCATTTCTCGGTCTGGCTAAAAAGGAGGTGCTGATGCATGCTTTCAATTCTTGTCGTTGAGATTAGTGTAATGCCCTAAAAGGGTATTTAAAAATACAATTATCCTAGCCAAATTATCGAAAAGGCTTTGGTGAATATTTCTCTATCGTGATTGGTTGATAAGTGGAACGCTGCCTCCCCTCTAATTGGTCGTTGGTGTCACATGACATGACGTTTCTTATCTACCCAATCACAGCACGAAAAAGTTCTCCTGCGGAAGAACGATGTCAAGGAATGTCTAAGTGTAACCTGGAATCGTAATATAATATTCTCGATATGGATTTTCTGCTTGTGAACAAAACGCGACTGCTTCTCCTCGCAGTGTTCGGATTGAGTTTGGTGGAGGTGTTCGTTTTCGGGGAGGAGAGCAGCGAGTTCACTTTCCTTTTACAAGCCGGAAAATCCGATTGTTTCTTCCAGCGCGCTATACAGAATGGTACGATGGAGGTCGAGTATCAGGTAATTGTATGCGTGCCCCATAAATTTAATGCTCCCTATTTAATCATTGCATATTGATTTCTTTATCCTTCAGTGTTCGCTTTCTGAGCTTGACGCTACTGCTGCTTTAGCTATGCAATCAACAGTTAGGTGCGTGGAGCATAAATGTCATTCACTTTCATTTCAGTGCAATATTGAGGTTTCTTTTTATACTTTTTCTCACGACCTTCTGATCCAGGCGTTTTATTTTATGACTAGAATATGCGGCGGGCCACAAATGGCTCTTGGACGGACTTTGGACCCCCCAGCACGAGTGCATTGTCAATACTGTTTGCTTGAGGGTCTATCTGTTAGGGAAATAAAAAGTGCGGATGTGTGTTCTTTATATTTTGCGGGGGCGGCACGGTGGTTGACCACTAAGCATGTCCACTTCACAGTGTGGAGATCATAGGCCTTGTATAAGGAATTTGCATGTCCTCTCCGTGCCATTGTGGGTTTTCTCCAGGTACTCCATTTTCCTCCCATATTCCAAAAAACATACACGGTCGGTTAACAGAAGACTCTAAATTGTCCTTTGGTGTGATTGTGAGTGTTTGAATGTTGTTTGTGTGTGTGTGTGCGCCCTGCGATTGGCTGGCAACCAGTTCAGGGTATACCCAGTTTACTGCACAAAGACAGATAGGATCCGCTCCAGCACGCCTGCGACCCTCGTGAGGATAAAACTGTTTAGGGTGGATGTGTTTTTTTATTTCCAGGTGATTGGAGGAGCCGGCATGGATGTGGATTTCACCATCCTCAATCCAGAGGGCGCACCATTGGTCGCAGAGACTCGTCGCTCTGATGGAGTTCATGTGTTAGTTATGCAACCTCAAATAACACCCAGATCCTGGATCGTGTTCCTGGATCCGTCCATTTACAACTGTCTTTACTTCCTGTTTTTGCTATTTACCAAGGGTGGAGCCCACAGTGGAGGGAGACTATCAAGTCTGCTTTGATAACAGCTTCAGCCACTTCTCGGAGAAGATGGTGTTCTTCGAGCTTTATGTCGAGGGGCAAGGAGGAGATGTGGGCGGTGATGAAGAATGGGCTGGTTTAGAGGAGATGGATGAAAACATGTTGCAGTACAAGTTGCAGGATATGAGAGTGAGCTGCAGTGTTTCTAAAGAGCGCAGACCAGCTGCAAAATTATGGCCACTTGCATAATATCACAATCTCAAATATTTTGCATTCAGCTGAATGGCTATTTCCTCTTTACTCCCTCAGGAGTACATGGACTCTGTACAAAAACGTCTTGAACGTAGTCGGCAGATGCAAACAGTGTTGCGAGCTTTTGAGGCGCGGGACCGAAATCTTTTAGACGACAACCTGTGGAGAGTCTCGTTTTGGTCATGTGCCAGTGTACTGGTGATGCTGTGCGTGGCCCTCACCCAGGTAAACTGCTGTTCATTCCTATTTTTGGTCACTCATATGGTTGGTGTTGACAAGATTGTCACCTCTTCCCCTTCAGGTCTACACTGTGCGCAAACTGTTTGATGATAAGCGGAGGATCTGCACGTAGAACGAACTCTGTGATGTGACAAGACAAGCTGGGTGGGGCTCACAAGCCACGGCAACTGGGTGGAGACATTGAACATAGCACCAGCTGTCGGCACCAAGTGATGTGGTTCACTTCTGGAAGCTTGTCGCGCACCAGTCTGTGCAATAAGAGTTCACAGTGAAGAACAGTTCCTATGTTGGTGGCCCTTTTTGTTTCCTTTAGTGCCTTTTTAATGTGAAATCTTACCACAAACTGATGCCAAAAATACATTTTAAAAGGCACTGCAGTATATTTTGCAGTTAAACAATGGTGAGTGTTGCTGTATGTGTTTTTTTTTTTCTAAAGGTGAAATGTCTGTGACTTGTACAACCTGTCATCTTTTCCAGTTTATACGCGTTAATAATGTGCAATACAGTCATATTGAATTTGCTCTCCAATTTGTTTTTAAATAAGGTTTTTTTTCTAAAATGTACTGTTAAAAAAAAAAAAAAAAAAATATATATATA